GAAATAAAAATGTTCCTTGTTTTAGATAGACATTTTCAAAAGAACTAATTCAAGATTCGTCCTAGTTTTTTGAGGTCGTTCAAAAAATGGATGATAAATTTTCAAAAATTATGAAATCCTTTTGAACACCCATCTTTAAGAGGAACGTCTTTTTACCTTCGAGAAACAAGCAGAACACAAATTAAAAAAAAAAAACTATTTTTCTCAAGTTGCAAAACAAAATGATGTAAATGAAGTTTAGACCACAGTATGAGAAACTTTTGTCCTTTAATAACAAATGTATGTCTTGGCAATCAGAATGGGTAAACCAATTATAATAAGAATGAGTACTTACAATACATGGCGGATAATAAATAAAGGAATAAAAATAATGCTATTTATATATTGCACAGAATTTCTTTCTTCAGCAAGAACATTCTGTGCAAAATTAGCAATGATCCTAAAAAGATGAAAGAAGCTTTTATTCACCTTGGAGTTGGGGCTGTTGAAGAATTTGACAACAAATGGATGGTTCTTTGGGTCCTTGTTAAAGATAGTAACAGTAGGAATACTTGTTTCTTCAACAGATTTCACTAAAGCATCCACATCAAAGTCCTGCAAAGACATAAGTTTTTGAGTTAAGAGGACTATAGTATTAGATAATACGGAAAATATCTAGGACAGAAAGAACAGAATAGACAACCAGCCAAAAATATGCATAAAACTGAAAACAAGTGTTGTACCTTAAAATCGACAAATAGTTCATCAAAAGGCTTGAACAGCCTAACAATTGGTCCAGCAACAGATGCATCCCCACGAGGAAGGAGCTTAGCATCCAAAGTATGACCAAACTCATAGTCAGAACGCAATCTCTCAGCCAAAGTAGTGAAGTTCTCAAACTGCTCCCCAGAAAATTCCGGGAATATTCCAACCTGTAAAATTTTACAAACATGTTTTACCTCTGCAGCTTACAAAATTGACTCCCACACTCGAGGATAAAGTAGGGGAGAAGAGTGGAAAATGACACTCACCACAAGTATCTTATTGTCGTCGATCACAGAGGTAGCATCTTCATGGGATTTAATTTCATTGGATGCAGGGCCACTTTGTTTTTTCAAATAAGTTACAATGCCATCAGCCTCACGAGGTCCTTTATAGTCTTGAACAACACTGCCTCCATATCTCAAAATTTTAACTGTGGGAAAACCTTGAATTTCATACTCACTGGCAAGAGGTTTATTTTTCTCCTCATTGGCATCAACTTTGGCTAACACAACTGGAGGATCATCCTTGCTCAAAATAGCCGCAGCTTTCTCATACTGCAAATCCATAGAATATACATTATACAATCTCCAGAAACCAGAAATTCCAAGGAAAGAAAAAAGACAATTCCCTAACATTTCAAGTATAGATACAATATTACCTCAGGAGCGAGTTTCTTGCAGTGACCACACCTGTAACAATGTTTCAAAATATTAAAATGTAAATCAAGTAAGCAGAAAAAAGTAAACCTGAACAACGCATTGAGTAACAAGTTTCTTCTAGTGCAATTTACGCACAGTGGAATACAAGATTATTATTTCAATTTATTCACAGATCTGAATAAACAAAACTTCACTATAAATTAGCTAGACGTTGTATTGTCCACGATACCCAAGGTTCCTTCTAATTTACTAAACAACTTAAACCTCCTCCGCCTTAAAATGTTATTCATTCCTCTTTGTAGATCTTACCTTCTTATAATTTTTTTCTTTTTCTTTTTTGCCAAAAAAAGGGGGGAAACAAAAAGCACCGCATATACTTGAACATAATTAACTCCAAAAAATTCCAATATGCCTTTCATTTCACTTTACATTTATGTAGATAAACATATCGATCATAATAAATCTAGAATCCGCACTACAAATTCTCATACAAAAATAGTGAAACTACAAAAAATCAAGGTTATCTATTTAAAAAAAAATTACCAGGGTGCGTAAAACTCCACGACGACGAACTTATGTTTCGCTACGAAATCAGTAAAATTGGAGTGGTCTAACGTGACAACGAACTCTTTAGATTCCGATTCCTCTTCACAGATCGATCCAGCTAAAGTGATCACGATCAAGAATAGGGACATCCAAACCTTGGATAACGCCATTGTTTCTAAAAATCTCAGCCCCAAAAATATCTTCAGCCCTCCTAAGCTAAAATATTTCGTGTGAAAATTTAACTCATGAATTAGGGGTTTTATGCGATCATGTGCGTCGGTCACGGGCGCTGCATTTGCTACTGACACGACTTTGTGTGATAAAATGACTATAATGCCCTTGTTGATGTTCCTAGTTAAGGAATATAGAAACGTGGCAAGTACATAATGACTCCATACTCGCTCGTATCGTGTCATCTTCTTGACGTGGAAGCATTTCATTTGTCCGATAGACGTCTAAAAGCTGTGAGCACGTGTACTACCCAGTTATGTGTCGCCACATCACAATTTTGTCAAACTGAAAAATTAAATTAAATTAAATTATTATTTGAAACCGTTAATTTTAATTTACATGGACACGTCTCAATATTTTGGTTTGGGTTGATGTTAGAAACGGTTTTATTTAAGTTTCATGCTTAAAA